TCCTGTTAGTACACACGTCACAGAGTTTCGCTGAATTGGTACTACTGTATTTAATTGAGTTTTGGAGTGATTTTGGTGTGCTTTTCATCTTTAACGTAGCTGGAGATTTTGAGCATTATTTTACCAATGGTTGAGAAATGGAAAAAAAATCTCAAATATTTTCTCCATTAGTTTCTACCTAGCACTTTTTAAGCCTTACGTGTGTTATGTTCAGTCATCTGTCTAAAAATTCAAAAAGAGGGGCTGGCCCGGTGGCGCAGCAGTTAAGTTCGCACGTTCCACTTCTCTGCTGCCTGGGGTTCGCCGGTTTGGATCCCAGGTGCGGACATGGCACTGCTTGGCAAGCCATGCTGTGGTGGGCGTCCCACATATAAAGTAGAGTAAGATGGGCACGGATGTTAGCCCAGGGCCAGGCTTCCTCAGCAAAAAGAGGAGGACTGGCAGTAATTAGCTCAGGGCTAATCTTCCTCAAAAAAAAAAAAAGCCAAAAGATTTACTTTTTAAAGGTAATTAAGAATATGAGAGGATTGAGTATTCAGGCAGAGGTTTGAAAAATAATCTATCAAGGATTCCGTAGAAAGGATTGTTGGTTGGTAGGAAGTTCCACAAAACCTCCGTGCTTTTTCCCATTTCTAAGATTTTTATGAGTCTAAATTGAAAAAAGGAATTGCATGATTATTGTGTTTAGGCTGATTTTCTCTTCACACACCATTAGGCTTCTGATCCACGGTGTATTTAACCCTGAAATTAAAGTTCTAAATTTTGACATGCTTCATTGGTAGTAAGGGAATTTCACAATTCTTTCCAACAACAACAAAATTAGTCAAGGTTGAATTTATTAAGGAATAGGTGTGACGACTTAAAAATAATCAGGGAAAAGCTCATAATTTACTAAAGACATCACAAAATAATTATTACACTCATTGAGTTGTAGAGCTCGAATTTGAGACCTTATATCTGCACCATAGGAGGGACCTACTCATCAAGCCAGTCTCTTCTTTGGGCCACAAAGTTTGTGACTTAGCACGTAACTTTTTTTTTTTTTTTTAAAAAGAATATCCTTTTAGTTACTGCCTGCTCCAGTGAGATGTTTTAGGTTACAGCAAAGGTAGCTTTCATTCAACAAACACTGTGTCTATGGTATGTGTGGGGCACAAAAACAAACAGACTCCACCCTCATGGAGTTTATAGTTTAGCGAAGTGTTGTGGATTTAAATGTTAAAGATTCCTTAAAATCTAAATGCACAGAGGTTTTTTCCAAAATTAATTGAGAACACATCAATTTGGTAAATTGCGTTTTTTAGGAAAGTGCCAGATGTCGTGGGGTGAGCCCTGCATTTCTGCGTTGTGCAGAGGCAAGGGTTCAGTTGTTGAAAGAAACTGAGGAAGGAGAGCACCCAAGGAGTAGAACTGGGAGGGAGTGCTGTCCGAGGAAGCAGAGGAACTTTTCAGTGGCAGAAGGTGGTCAGTTGGGGTGTCTGTCATGTGGTCAGGAGGGGTGAGAATGAAAATAATCCATTGGGAGTTGAGAGGTTATTAAGAGGAGTAATAACAGTATAAGGGGAGAAGCCAGTTTATGCATAAATAGGAATGGAGAAAAAGTCGGTTAACTTGACTTTTTGTTATCAGTGATTGATAAAGTAACAAACTGTACTAATAAGGGATTTTATAGTCTAAAATCTTTTACACGTGTATACCAGTGCTTTCAAATTTGCATCAGCCCCTGATACACCTGATGAACTTATTCTGATTCTTAAATTAACAGTAGTTATTACTCAGAGGCAGTATAACACCACAATTTAAGCTAAAAGACATAGGTTTGAATCTTGGTTTTGCTGTTTTTGGCTGCCTGCCTCTTTGTGTGTGTGTGTGAGGAAGATCAGTCCTGAGCTAACTACTGCCAATCCTCTTCTTTTTGCTGAGGAAGACTGGCCCTGGGCTAACATGCATGCCCGTCTTCCTCTATTTTATACGTTGGGCGCCTTCCACAGCATGGCTTTTGCCAAGTGGTGCCATGTCCACTCCCAGGATCTGAACTGGTGAACCCCGGGCTGCCGGGGATCTGAACGTGTGCACTTAACTGCTGCGCCACCGGGCCGGCCCCCATGGCTGCCTGACTCGTTAAGATATTTAATCTCTCTGGGCCCCACTTTCCTCATCTGTGAAAGAGTAGTTACAACAGAGCCTATCTGAAAATGTCATTGGCAGAGTTAAATGTGAACTATTGTTATCATCGTCAATGAAACTGGGCTAGTTTTTAGTGTCCAGTTCAGTGCTCCTGTCTTTCTCTCCCTTTTATTACCCTCTCCCCACACCCACCCCATGTACAACTCTTTGTTGAGGTACGTTTCAAAGCAATAATTTACTTTTTCATTGTTAAAATTGTGATTCATTTACCAGTTGTCAGTCAGATGTTTGCTCTGCAGGAGATAAAGTGTAAGCACGAGTTGAGTTGGTAAAGTTCTAGTTAAAAATTAAGAACATCTTCAGTTTTGTTAGTTTGTGTGTTAGCGTAGGGGGAATTAATGTTCAGTTTTTCGAAAAACTGAAAACAATTCATATAGTCCCCTTTATAGCTTCTGTAGATGCCAGGCTGAGAGCCTGTCTTCTAATTTTAGATATGGTCTTGTTTTCTATTAATTATTTATGCTCATGAATGGAAAATATAGCTAAATTTTTCAAAAAACAACCATGTGTTAGAAGTCTTGATATTTGGCTTTGGAATACAATGCATCTAAAATCACTTGAAATTAATTTCAAGGCTGAGGAGATTTATTGATAACATTTTCTAAACCATGAAAAAAGAAATTGAAGTGATTCTGAATAAATTTTATTTGGAGAATACTAACTTTTTGTATCTGAGTAGCTTTTCAGAATGGCAAAAAAGGGCATAGTCTTATTTTATAAAGTGATCCATGTGGTTTGACAGTTTCATACGAAAATAACCGCTCAGCTGAGGTCTGTGGGCTCCTGCCCTCCGTTCCACATCTCCGATCCCGGCTCTGATGGAGACGAGGGAAGTTCTGGTGCCTGTACTTACAGCGGGGCAGAGAGAGGTTCTCCAGTCTTGAGTTGGAACATACCAGCTGCAACTAACGGGACTCTTTGACCAGCTAGTTGCCTGGTCTCTGCTTGCACGCGGTGTAATTCATCTGAGGGTAGAATTTATTGTTGGGAAGGCCCGTTTCTTTTACCGTTTAGAGATATGCAGAATAAGTTTTCAAATGCATGCTGGTACTTCATGGATTTGAAGGGGAACTTGGCTGCCTCCCTTCCCCTCCCTGATTTCTCCCCATTCCTGTTCTTCATCTGCTCTCTCATGGTTTCCAGATCCTTTGCCACCCTGGTTGTTCTCCATTGGAGGCACTCCAGTTTTTCGGTGTGATTTTTCTGAAAATGTGGTCGTCGGAAGGGAGTAAAAACCTGTGGGCGCGGCTGAGCTCGGGGAGGGTGGCGCCCTCTGGGTCTGGACAGTCTTCACCCAGTTGTGAGGGCCTGTGTGGGGTTATTTTGCCGTAACTTGAAGAACACTTGCTCCTGGTTCGTGCTGAATCTAGTATCTTCCAAATCTCAAGGTCTTACTTGTCTCTGTCCTTCAGCCACGGATGATAAAACCGCTAATGCAGCTTAGTGAGTTTGATTATTTTCCACTGCTCTACTTTGCAGTAACTTGTTAAAGAAATATTTGGTAGGCATTTTACTTTGTCAGTTTTTATGTTTCCCTTCTACTTTTTAACTTTAAAGCAATTGGGTTTGTATTTGTTGTGTAGTAACCATTTAAAAACTCTGAAGGAGATGGATCGTAGTGACAGACGGGCACCTGAACTCTGAAGAGAAGATATGGCAGGGTTTAAACTCTGACTCCTAGGGACATTGTATAGTCACATACACCATGGGTTATCTTGGCCTTTTGTCTTGATGTGGGAACCTGGCCTCCAGGTTAGATGGAGAGGGACCGCCTAGCTGTGTGACCTTGGGCAACTCACCTAACCCCTCCACACCTGAGGCTCCCCATGGGGAGAATGTGTAAGAACACCTGCCTCCTGGGGTCATTTTGGGGAATAAATGAGATAATAGGTGTAGAACGTTGAGCACAATACTCGGTGCCAGTAAGCAAGCAAGAAACAGTTCTGTTGTCACATCAAAAAACACATTCTCAGTTTTAAAAAATTATAAATGAGTTTTTGACCATCCCACCGCTTTGAAAATTAAAACCTTTTTTCTATATGCTTTCTCCATGTATTCAAGTGTAGACACTTAAGTTATTAGTTATAAGGGGCATCAGAGGACCGTTGACCCATCTCTGCTTTTTCTATGTTGGGAAAAAATGGACTATGCTGCCCTGGAGTTCTCAGCCTGGTAGGATAGACAGAAAAAAAATAAATCACATTGTCATGTGATAAGTATATTAAAAGAAGCATGCACAAGGTATTTACCCTAAGAGTGTCTCAGCTTGTCTCCCTTCAGTTCTGCCTATTAATCCATCCTACACACAGCTGCCAGATGAATTGTCTTAAAGCATAGCCTTGAGGTCTGTTTCCTGCTGCAGATCTTTAAATTGCGTCCTCCTGTGTACCAAATAAAGGCAAACCCTGTAGTCTGGTATTCTTGGCCTTTTATCTGTCGTCCTCAGCTCATTTTCCTAGCGTTCCTACCACTCCTTCTCTTTATATATCTGACTTCTCTTGGTAAATCCAGCTCCTTGCTGTTCTCAGCACGCTTTCTGGCTTCCCTTTAGCATGTTCGTCTCCTTAGAGGGCTTTCCCTTCCATGTCTGGTGCTCAAAGACCATCTCTTGCTTTTGCTTTAGTAGCAGAACTCTCCTCCTGTTCATATTCCTCCTCGTAGAAACCAGTGTGTGCTTGCTTTACACAGAGTTTGGTCCAGTCATTCATGTGTTCATTTACTTGGCAAATATGTACTGAAGTCAGCTAGGAAGGCTCCTGCTATCTTGCATCTCTTCCCCCTGCCCCTGAGCCTGCTGCAGGTGAGAGGTAAGAAAGCAATTGTCCTTAATCTGGGTAAGCAGACCCACCTGAGTTTGCAAGCGGGTTGCAGGGGCCACGGCTCCAAGTGCAGAGTTGGAGAAGCCAGGAAGGGAAGGCGGGATGGTTAGCCTGGGCTCAGAAGCTGCTGTTTTTCCAAGTTGGTGTGATACTCTGCAGGCAGTGGCAACCCTTGGTGACATTTCTTAGTTCCATAGTGAAAATAGTAGGGAATGGGTGGAATGGTGGTGATCGTGACTCAGCAGAATATTTCATGAATGCCAGAATTAAGTGCCAGGTTTTGTTTTTGCTCTTCTTTTGAGCTAGATGTATTTTGTTTAAAATGAAAACGTCAGTCATCTTTGTGGTTCTAAATGAGACAGACCTCTGATATTTTGTGTTAAAGATAGCTGCAACAATGTGTATATTGTTTAGGCTCCTGTCTTTAAAAATCACCGGAGTCCTTGAGGTTTGCTATGTCAGCCTCCTGTTAACTTTAATAAAGCCCTATAAAGTCAGATCTGTTATACGGTAGAGAAGCCAGGTAAAACAGTTAAGAATTTTAGGTTGTCTGATGTTGAAGTGGAGGACAAAATTTTATGGTGTGTTCATTTAAATAGTTCCTGTTTTGTCTCTCCTGAATTTTGTAAGCTGCTGTGAGGTTATAAGCAGTATTCAATAATCTGGGTCATGGAGTTCTAGAGTAGCTGTGCTCTAGAGGCAGACGCATTCTTTCCTCAGTACAATGCGTAGTTGGTCAAGTGGAAGCTTCAGTTACAAGCGCATTTCTGTTTTTCAGATGTCACGTATTAATTTATTATTAGGCTTTTGCATGTGTATCTGAGGAGTGTACGTGGCTCTCTCTCCTGCTCAAAGTGAATCGATAGGAAGATAAGGATTTAGCCTCTATTCCCGGGTGTGGTCATTTAGTATTTATTTTGTGTTGACTCATTTTTGCTTATGAGTCTCGTTTCAGCCGTAAGAATCCTGTTTTGCCTCCCCAAGGTAGAACTTCCCCCAAATCACATTTTTTCTCTCTGGAGTTCGGATGCCAGCATGTAACCTAAATGTCACCAGTCAGGCGCGTCCAAGAGAGACTGCGCTGCCCAGTGAGCGGTGGAGGAGTGTGGCTCTGTGTGGACTTCCCCCCCCCCGCCCCCGTCTCCTCCCTTGGGGCTGCCTCCCTCCCTCACCAGGAATAACTCCTGTTAATACAATGCATGCTCTTCCGGATCATTTTCTGTACAAATGTATAAATATTTACCATTTTTCATAAATGTTTTTTAAAAATGAATGCAAGTAGGTTTTTTATAAAACCAATTGAGCATTTTTGATGTTTAGTTCTTCCTGTTTTGTGAATTGTCTGTTCATGCATTTGCTGATTTATTTGCGTCTTAGTTTGAAAAACCATTGTGTTTGTAGTAAGGATCATAACTCTTGTGGGTCATATAGATTGTAGTTTGCCTCTGAGTTTTTTGTTTTTAGATGTAAAAATTTTAATATATATTCAAAGTTACTATTTTTACCCTTGCAGTTTATTTCTTCCTCAGAGACCCTTGCCTCTGTTCAGTTATTTCGCCTGTGGTCACACAGCTGGTGATCCTGGTGGTTTGGCCCGAGAGCACAGTCCCTTAACCAGTCTCTGCATGTTCTGCCCTTCCAGGGCCCGAGATCCTATCCCATAGACTGGATTTGCTTTTGAAGCCCTTAAACACGCCAGATACCCAGTAGCTTCATGTTTAAATGATTTCTTAGATTTAGGACCGTTTTCCTGGACGTGAAGAGGGAATTAAACCCTTAGTTAGAAAGAAAACTTAAAGACTTGTGATATATGTAAGCAACCCTGAGCTGTCTGAGGGCTCCTAAGATGCTGTGCTTTCAGACACAGCATGGTGATGGGAAGACTGGGCATTGGGGCCAGATTGCCTGGCTCAGGTACTGGCTCTGCCGCCTCTGTCGTGTGTGCCCTTGAACGAGTGACTTGCTGCTGTGTGTCTTAGTTTCCTCGTCTGACAAGGGACGATCATTAAGTTACCCACTTCATGGGTTTGTGATGAGAACTGCATCGGAATACATGTGAAGGATTTTGAAGAGAACCAGGCACATAGTCCACTGTTGGCTTAGTGATTATTACTTCAAGATAATTTTGCTTCCTACTTGAAATAAAAAGAGGCCACAAATATGAAACCCATTTAACTTCCTGCTCCTTTTCCCATAAACTTATAGGCAGACCTCACCCATACGTAACCAAACCTTTTTCCTTTCCCGAAGGGCGGAAACGGATTTCTGAGCCGTGTTGAGCCGCCTGAGGTCGATGGTTGTAGAATGCCGTTCAGTGGTTTTGTTTCTGTCATGCTCAGAAACTCGGCTCCAAGACTGGAGAAGGCTTCGTCTAGGACTTGGGGCCTTGTGTAGGGCAGGAGGGATAGAAGGAGAGAAGGTGAGGCGAAGAGGTCAGTTGAGCTGGTGTCGTGCAGGGGCTAGGCTAGTGAGGGAAGGAAGGGATGTTGGGGAGAACAGGGAAGAGTCAAGAGAAGAATCATAGTAAGGTTCAGAAACAGGCTTTTTGTGTAAAAGGTTGAGAGCATTGCCGATTGTGTTGCCTGGATACCTAACCTATTTTTGGTGTTGGGAAACAGCAGAGGTAGGATCAGGACTTGGTTTGGTTGAAATAATTATCTTTTTCTCTAAGAATTCTTTCAGCTCAAAAATTTCCATGTTTTCTTTTGATCTTCCCCTCCACCTGAAATCCCCCAATCATAGCAATAACCTATAAGAATCTTGAAATAATTTAGGAACTGAACTTATAAAATATGTTCCTCCCTTTTAAGAATATAGTTGACAGCCATTAATTAACATTAAATAGGGAAGAAATCACAATAATAGGAATTTGCTTTCCCTTTTTCATATTTTCCTTTCTTTGTAGAGTGTTCATTCTTTCAAATAGTTATATAGTTTTTTTTTTAAGAAAAAGGGGTGAAATTATTAGAAGATGGATATAAAGTAGCTGATGGGCATTTTAGACCTCTTATGTAAGAGATCTGAGTATTGTGTTTTACACATGCCAGCCAGGATTAATGAGCATACCATTTGCTTAATTTATAAATTAATTTGGACACTTTTTACACTTCATTGTCCATTCTGCGTAAATTTTTTGATGAGTTAGTTCGCTTAAGGCGACATTAAGCTTTCTCATTCATGTAGAATCTAGTTAGGTCTTTTGGTTTATTTCATGGGCAGAGTATAAAGTACTTGACGAATTTGATCTGACAGCTTTACAGTTATGTAACGCAGAACAGAAGCTTAAAAACAACAAAGAAGAGGGAGAAGCGAGTGATTTATCATAGCGACTTATATTTCTCTCCAGAACATTACCACCCTTCTCTTGCCTCTCTGAACTGTAGCTGAATGACCATAAGGCTAGTAATTTACTCAGTCTTAAGTTAACCAGTATCTTTTTTTTTATTAACAATTATAAACATTTAGAGGTGAAAAGCTCCTTAGGATTATCGTGTCCAGGTGCATCACATTGCTAATGAGAATACAGAAGCCTAGAGAAGGTAAGTACCTTGCCGAGGGTCACAGAGCTAGTTAGTGGCAGAGCTGACCCAGGAGCCAAGGTCAGAGAGTTCCAGTTCCAGAGCTCTTTCTGGTGTGGTATGTGAATAGAGTATTTAATAACAAGATAATTATTACACTCTTTTACAAAAGGAAATTTCATATAACCATGACAAATACTGGGATATTTGGTTTTGCATATTGAGTAGAAATACTTATATTGGAAAGCATATTTGGCTGTGTGGATTCGTATTCTTCTAGTCCCACTAGTGGTATGACGTTGGTCACATCTTTTAATCTCCAAAGCTCCGTCTCTTCCTCCGCAGAGTGGAGCTCATAGAAGGACCTCCTTGTATGTTACGTGCAGCAGTCTCTTCAGTCTGGCATGTGGTCACGTCTGTGTGAATGTGACGTGCTGCTGTTACTGATTGAGGATAATTTCTAGTTCCTTCATCTTCCTTCACATACTAACAGGTGATTATTTAGCCAATAAAACTGAGCATTGAGAGTGACCAGTAATGAAAGTAATGGATTTAAGGATGGATTTGCAAACAGATGTTTTGGAAGGGCTATGTGTGTGTCTGGGCCTTTGGAATTAGGGAAATATTTTCTACTTTTTTTTTGTATTGAAAACTATGCTATAGTTGTTTTTAAACTGTATTCAGAAATTACAGCCTCTAACTAAGTGAAGTTTTTCCCACAAGTAATGCTCTTTATGCAAATTTCCGAGTAGGTAAATTGTAGAACTTTGGAAAACAGGATTGTTTCATTTTGTGTGTGTGTATATGTATGTGTGTGTGTGTATATATATATATATATACACACACACACAGAATTATATATAGAGAGAATAATCTTTGAATAATAATAAAAATAAGCCTAGAATTGATTATTTTTCTATTTAAAAACTTGAATCCAAAAACGTTTCTGAAAGAAGGATAATGAATTTCTGTTTTTACACTTTAATTGACATAGTCGTGTTCCACCTGCCTTTGGTCTGCAGTGGTGTTGTCCCAGGTAAGCAATCCCAGACGTGCACAGCAGTGTTTTCTAAAGTGCTGACGTACTACGAGTGCTTTGGGAGATGTTTTAAATTTGTGTTCAGGTGAACATTTAAATTATGATAGTTAGAAATTTTAATGCTGATTAGGAAAATTTGTAATCTAATATACCAAATTTGTGGTTTCATAGGTTTTGTAGTTTAGGGTGAATAAAATGTTTGTGAAAAAGTAAGTTTGAGGTTCTGATACATGCTCCAGCAGGGTGAACCTGGACATGGGCCAGATGCAAAAGGCCGCTTATGGTAGGATTCCACGCACCAGGCTCCTGCAGTAGGGGAACTTTTAGAGACAGAAAGTGGAGTGGTGGCTGCCAGAGGCTGAGGGGAAGAGGCAGTGGGGAATTACTGTTTAATGGTACCTAGTTTCTATTTGGGATGATGAAAAGTTCTGGAAATGGAGAGTGGGGATGGTTGTGCAACAGTGTGAATGTACTTACTGCCACTGAATTGTAAACGTAGAAGTGATTAAAATGGTAAATACTGCATGTGTATTTTACCAAATTAAAAAAAGGAGGGGAGGAAATGGGATCAGAGGTCTGCGTGTATTTTTTTAAAAGTGAATTGAGAAAAATATTAATTAAGTAGTGTTATAGGCATTTGACATTCTGGAAAAATTATCCCTTGTTTTGGTAGGTAATATTCAAGAGAGTGTTTTGAGTTGGTTTAAGGGAAACACTATGATACTAATTCTTCTTGAGCTTCGTCTGGTCAATGGTGTGAAATGTTAAATGTCTCTTAATGTTTTACTTGGATGCAAAGCTGGGGTCTTGTCTGTAAGAGAGGAACAAGCTAATATAGTCTCTTAGCTAGTGTCCTAATTGTCCCCCTTTCCTCCACTATTGACCATTTGTTTCCTGTTGTTAGTTTTGTATAAAATTTCAATCTTCATTAGATTGTTATATCTGATTATAAATCATAATGTTGTATTTCCTTAATTTGCTTTTACATACTCACTTTGTTAGAGAGAGATTTGTCCAAACTAACAATGAGCTTCCTTAGCAATAGAGCTACTGTTTTATGTTCTTTTTCTAACTATAACATCTTATTTACATAAGCTCCTGGTTGATCTCTCTTGAAATTCATAGGGTTTTTTGCCCTCCTTTTTATAAGCTCACTGGAAAACCTGTGGCATTGCTTTCATAAGCAGTTTCACAAATTTTTCTTGCTTTCTCCTTTTATTTAGACATTTGCATTTACTAACAGATGGGGTGAATTTGTGAGTTATATTTCTAGGCTTTGATTTAAAAAATTAAAAAAATCAATTTGATTAAAAAAACGTATACGTAATTGTATAAACTTAGGTTCCCAATCATATGTACACCAAGTTTTAAAGTCCTTAGGGCCAAGATTTCAGATTATGGTAAAAAGTAAGTTCCTCTCATTATCATAGTATCTTCAAAATTCAGAAAAATATACTTAATATACTTAACTGTTACTATATGTGTCTGTCCTGTCTTTTATGTCTTCATCTCATATTTCCATTAGATTTTCAGTTCCTTGCCTACTGACTCTTTGTTGTGGTAAAATGGGTTTTAAGGTCACTTAAGAGAAAAGTAACTTTTGTTGTCTCAGTTGCTTTTCTTCTGTCTTTCCTTTAATAATTTTTTTTAATTGAAACTGAAGAGGTTATTGACACATAGCAGTTGGGCTCTGCAGTTTTTATTTTGGGTAAATATGAAATGGGGAACGTTTAAGAGGTAATCTAGACTAGCTTTATTTATGCCTCCTTTAAGGACTAGTAGCTCGGTATTTGACATAGATTATAAGTTTTTTTTTTTTTAACTTTTTGTCATGAAAATTTTCAAGAGTACACAAATCAGGATCCTCTCCACAGTGCCTCTGATTATTTCTCTTGTTTATTTTAATTCACATTAGTTTCTACTCTTTTCTTTCTCTCTTTCTTTTTTTTTGGGGGGGGGAGGGGAAGATTAGCCCTGAGCTAACATCCGCCACCAATCCTCCTCTTTTTGCTGAGGAAGGTTGGCCCTGAGCTAACATCCGTGCCCATTTTCCTCCATTTTATATGTGGGACGCCTGCCATAGCATGGCTTGGTAAGCGGCACATAGGTCTGCACCCGGGATCGGAACCAGCCGAGCCCGCAACCTAAAAACCACTATGCCATTGGGCCAGCCTCTCCACTCTTTTCTTTAAACTCCATGACATTATTTATCGAAGAAACTGAGTTATTCTAAATTTGGCTGACTGCATGCTTAAGGTGTCATTTCACATGTCTGTCTAATGGCTTGGTTAGATTTGGGTCCAGTTTTCTTGTTGCAACATATCAGGATGTGTATGTTTGCTTGTCTTACTTTTAGTAAGGTTGATTAGTGTGACTATACAGATCGACAAATGAGTGCATATATCCACCAAAAAACTCACGTAGAAATGCTCAGAGCTGCCCAAATGCCCATCAGCAATAGAATGGGTCAATAAATTGTATTTGTATAGATGGAATACTACACAGCAATAAAAAGGAACAAATTAACTGATAGGTGCCACACTTATGTTTCTCACAGAAATAGTGTTGAGTGAAAAAAGTTGATGCAATAGAGGGCATACTGTATGATTTCAGAGACAAGAAATTCAAAAATGGGCAAAACTCATATCTCACTTAAATGTGTTGTAGGACAGACCAATGAAACAATACTACCTAGTGAAAAGTCCTTCTTTTCCCACGCTGATTGAAGTAGCTCCTTAATCATATACTCAATTTTCATAAGCATTGGGGTGTATTTCTATATCTTGTTCCATCGATCTGTCTGTTCATATGCCAGTATCACAGTGTTTTAGTTATAGAAGTTTTATACCATATTTCAGTATCTGACAGGGCACCTTCTCCAATCATTGCTGTACCTTTTCAGGATTTTTCTAGCTGTTCTTGCTTATTTATTCTTTCATATTAACTATAATCAGCTTGTCTTGCTTCGGGAGAAAAAAAACCTCTAAAGGTATTTTCATAGGATTGCATTAAATTAGTAGGTTATTTTAGGGAGAACTGCTACCTTTATGTGTTTTTTATTGGTAGTGTTAAATTTAAGCCTGTTTTTGCTGTTTTATGGGGTCTTTTCTATTTTTACTTCATTTTTTCCATTCGTTATTTCTTCTTACTGATTATTGTTGTACATATGAGGGCTTGATTTCTGTTTATAGTGTTATATCTTACAATTTTACATTTTCCTATTGTCTGGAATGGTTTTTCCATTGATTCACTCAGGTTTTTCAATTAAATATACTACTGGCAAATTGAGGTAGAGACAGTCTCCCCCGAACCCTGGCGCCCATCCCCAGCTGTTATGCCTCTGATTGCTTTCTCGTGTCTCATTTCGTTGGCAGGTGCCTATGTAATGTTATATGGTAGTGGGGTCCTTATTGTTCTTTAGAGGGAAAGTCTTTCGTGTTTCCCCATTAAAGTGCTGGGTTTTTTTTTTTACAGCTATATATATGAGAGCTGTAATTTACATACTGTAACATTTACCCACTGCAGCTGTACAAGCCGATGATTTCTATTTAGTAAATTTATAGGGCTGTGCAACTGTCACCACAATCCAATTGTAGGGCATTTCTGTCATTCCAAAAAGTTCCCTTGTGTCCTTCTGCGGGGACTTTTATTTTGACAGATGTGTGAGGATATATTTATATGCATGTGTGTTTGAATATGTCTATCCCATACCTGTGTAAATATATTTATTCTTATCATTTAGGGAATTATCCATTAATTCCTGTTTTACTGCTTGTTTTTAATACAAACAAATAATGTTTGAAAGTGTTCTTTTTGACATATGTTGTTAAATGAGCAGGCTTAGATTGTAGTCTGTTGTGGCACCGTGGAAAAGAAGTCTGCTTGCGGTAAAATGCTGCTGTGTTATAATAAAAGGCTTTTCACATGGGTGAAGGAAGACAGCGTTCCATCTTCTGAAACACTTTGTCCCGTGTCGTTCGTTAGAGGATGGCCTTCCCTGTGGACGTGCTGGATACTTGCAGTCACGAGGACCTGGAAAATTCCGCTGAGGATTACATGTCCGATCTCAGGTGTGGGGACCCTGAGAACCCTGAGTGCTTCTCTCTTCTCAATGTTACGGTAAGGCGTTCTGCAGTGGTTTTTATCAGTCTTTTCAGTTGAGTTTATACATGAAATCGGTATCATTTAAATTTTTTATCATGTTAAAATGTTAATCATGTTTGAAATTTTTATGAGAAGACTCTTCGGTAAAATGGATGAATGTTGGTTATACAGCAGCATGGTCAAGGGTTAAAAAGACAAACTCTATGCGTTATTGCTTATATTTGTCGTGCCTTTAAAATTATATGTAAGTAGTTTACTGGTTTTGCTAAGACTGGTTACTGTATTTGTTACCTCAATTAAAGTTATGTTAGATTTGGAATTTGTGATTTTTGAAATTTTGATTATTTTTTTTTTTGCTGAGAAAGATTCGCCCTGAGCTAACGTCTGCTGCCACTCCTCTTTTTTTGCTTGAGGAAGACTAGTCCTGAGCTGACATCTGTGCCAGTCTTCCCGTGCTTTGCATGTGAGATGCCACCACAGCGTAACTAGTGAGTTGAGTAGGTCCATGCCTGGGATCCACACCTGTGAACTCCGGCTGCCGAAGCACAGCGTGAAACCTTAATCACTGAGCTGTGGGGCCGGGCCCTCAGAATTTTTTCAATAATAAAAAAAAAAATTAGCAAAACACATTTTTGTGTCATGAATCTTCCTTTTTCTAAAATATTAAAATCAAAATTTCTAATTAGTAAACTGTGATATGTTGTGATAGAAAGATCATTAGCCTTGAATCATTAGAATAGCTCTGTGAACTTGATGGTAGGCAAATTCTGTAACCTCTCTAGGCCTCAGATTTTTCTTCTGGAAAATGATCTTGATTTAAAGGATTCTTTAAAGTCTCCTCCAGTACCAATATTTTATAATTCTCTGAAGTGTAATACTGTCTGTAATTGGGGAATTAGTGTTAGATTCATGAAGGTAGAAAAATTTTAAAGTATGTATCTCGCTGGAAAAATAAATTGACCTATCTGGTGTCTTTTTCTAGAAAATGGACTTTACCCCCTCTAGTAGTCCAAATGACAGATGATAAAATATAGTTGCTTTTACTGACTGATTGACCATATCTTGCTTTTTTAAAAAAATTTTTTTAAGGCTTTGTGGTGAGGAAGAGTGGCCCTGAGCTAACATCTGTTGCCAATCTTCCTCTTTTTTTTCCTTCTCCCCAAAGCCCCCCGGTACATAGTTGTGTATTTTTAGTTGTGGGTCATTCTAGTTGTGGCATGTGGGATGCCGCCTCATTGTGGCTTGATGAATGGTGCCCATGTCCGCACCCAGGATCCGAACCAGGGAAACCCTGGGCCGCCAAAGCGGAGAGCACGAACTTAATCACTCGGCCACAGGGCCGGCCCCTCGTGCTTTTGTTTTTATTCAGACGCGTGGCTAGAGCACAGTAATATTTATCAAAACAAACTTCCGTTTCTCCCCCAAAATAATAAAATTCCTGCAAAAGGAAAGTCTATTTCTTCTACCTTTTTTTTTTTTTTTTTTGAGACGAGAAAGATCCATGAAATGAAGTGATATATTGGCACTGATGGAGAAGTTTTGTATTTTGTAGAAGCAGGGTGTTTTTGTCCTGTATTTTCTTAACAGACTTCACTAATTTTTAACCAATTGTCGTTTCAGATCCCTATTAGCCTGTCAAATGTAGGCTTTGTACCTCTTTATGGTGGAGATCAGACCCAGAAAATTCTTGCTCTTTTTGCACCTGAGGACTCGCTCACAGGTCTCTTTTTCGCTTGATCTTTGTAAACTGAGGAATTTTTCTCCGAACAATTAGAAATTTATTAAAAGGTAGCTACATGAAGGAATTTTAAAAAAGAAAACGTGTTTCAAACTGTAAATTTAGGAAAATGTAATTCTCAGTTTCTTATAATTAAATGTTTAATGAGTGAAATAAAACAAAATAAAGATGATATAAATGGGGCCGTGTTTATTATAAAGAACAAGTGTATTTAAGGGAATCTATGCAAACCTTACCAAATAGTGATATTGTATACTTGACTTCAGTGTTAATGCTCATATATTCTGTTTCAGCTGTGGCGCTTTACCTTGCTGATCAGTGGTGGGCTATTGATGATATTGTGAAAACATCTGTCCCTTCTAGGGAGGGGCTTAAGCAGGTAACAAGATTCTGTGCTTTTAATAGTGTTTCTTACGAGGCCATTTCACAATGTGTTTCCCATAAACAGTGATGGTGTTTGAAGTTATTGAGCTCTTCTCCATTTTAGTATAAGCAGGTTACATTAAACCCTTAGAGTTTCACTCTTATGATGAAGCTGGCACTAGATTGGGCTTCCTCAATTTTATGTGGTCCTAAGAGTCTCTGAGAATTGGGTGAGGAAGAATGACTGCCTCCGGGTTAGTTGAGCTTTCGTTGTCTGTGTAACCCAGCTTCTCATTTTCCTGTCGGGTAGAGAGAAGGCTGGTCCTCAGTGTGGGTGCTGGGTTCCCTGTCTCTGGGAGAGACTGATCAGGAACCTGCTGATAGTAGGGCCATTTTGGGTGTTCTGTTTGGTGTTCTCGCAGTGGAGTGGAAGGGGGGTCCTTGATAGCATTCTGCCAAACTTTATCCTTTTTTCTGTCCCGGTCACCATTTTATCAGTTATTTAGGGGAAGACACAGATGGCATCCTTATCAATTCTGCATGCCACAGTGCTGAACGGGAGAACTAATCTGAAAGGCAGAATTGAGAAATAAAGAGAAGGATCTACCATGATGGAAATCAACAGAGAGAAATGTATAGTAGTACCCACAGGTTCAGAAACCTAACTGCCCGTGTGCACCAGGAAGACCCAGCTGAGACAGCAGCCCGTGTAAGAAGGCTGGGCTTTAGTTAATGAGAAGTAAGATCAAGGTCAGCAAAGGAGCTGTAAAAACCCTTCCGTTCATAGAGAAAAGCCCGTTGTCTTAGTATCTTCAGTGTTCATGTCTGTCATACCTGCGTGGCCAACGTGAAGAGAGATGTTAGGGATCTGAAGCCTTCCGAGGGAGAGGATGGAGTGGTGAGAGCACCCAGAGCTGTGTGAGCTGTCTTTTCCCGTAGGGCTTCCTGCGTTTAGCTCCGGTGTGGGATTCAGAGGGACAGTCTTCTAGTGCCGTAGGCTGTGTGGCTCCGGATTGTCACAGGAGAGTCTTTGGGAAACAGGGTTTAGCTCAGCATGAGCAAGAATTTTATGCTGGTCAGAGGAAAGAGTGGGTTGCTTTGTAAGCTAGTGAGCTGTGTCATTTGGCATCGAGATCCCCTGCCAGGGATGTTTTTGAGAGTAGTGTGTGTGTTGCATGCTCTTTCTCTCCACTCACCCAATTAAAGAGCACTCTTGTTTCTCTTTAAGGAGACTTGAAGGAAAATAGACTTTATGGATAGGAGTCTTATTTTTAGCAGTGAAAGATCCTATGGGGAAAACCCTGCTGTTTGATGTCAGAGTTGGTGAGGGTCCCTGTGGCCGTGCCCTGTGTGTAGGATGTGAGGTTCAGTTTCCACTCTGTGATTGCCCCAAATGTGTTTTCACCAGACTTCCCTGGGGCCACTGTCATCGTTCACCTGGCCTGGCAGAGGGGTGGGGGAGTGGGAGAGGCAAGTGTTCCTTAGAATCAGACAACAAGGACACAACAGTTAAATGAATGTTTACCTGGAGAAGATGAGGCAGATTCCTTTCCCGAGAGCATAATTATGGCTTTGCTCATCAAATGAGGTCGTTGTTCTGAAAGTCTTCAGGGGCTAACGTGAGACGTTTTTCTCCTTTTTAAAAAATGTTTGGGCTGGAATGGGGTGAAAGAGTTGAAGCAGTAGTGGTGGTAGGGGAGCAGTTGGGGGCGGGAGCCCCTGGATCTGGGCAGCTGGAAGCGGAAAGAAAACACCGAGTGCTAAAGAGGAGGTGCTGGGGACTGGGCGTCGGGAGCCCGTTTTGCCTGTTCCAGAATTTTCTGAGAGGCAGTGTTCCTCGCCTGATACGTGTCTGTAGAAATGGATTGGTTTGGTGTGGATGATGAGTCTCATCTCTGTGATGATACAATGTTTTACCCATCATTTTGAATGTCCTCAAAGTGCTTTGAATGCCAGTATGAGGAGTGGAGGCAGGAAGCATCTTCGAATTGATGCATGTTATAACCGTTGTGCCTGGTGTCTGACTCTCTTTGTAGGTGAGAACTCTTGGGGAGAGAGTGGTTCTATATGTTCTGAATCGAATTATTTATAGAAAACAGGAAATGGAGAGAAATGAGATCCCATTCCTGTGTCATAGCAGTACTGATTATGCTAAGATTCTGTGGAAGAAAGGAGAGGCCATTGGGTTTTATTCAGTTAAGCCTACAGGTGAGTCTTTAAAAGTTATTCAAACAATATATTATGGAAACCTCCTTTTTAGACCCAAACTGTATCAATATCCCTTTAAATTAATCTCTAGAGTGCACATTGAGGTGATTTTACTCAGTATTTCTTGGGAGTACTTTGATTCTACCGTTCTGCATAAGTGAGCATTGTTAGGAAAGTCTTTTGAGGAAAAAAAAAGTAAAAGTCAACATTTGACAGAGGGGAAGATTTCTCCACGTGTGTGAGAAGAGAGTTGTGTGTTGACCCTCAGATCTGTCCGTCTTCTCGCCCTCCGTCCTCCTCCCTTCATTTAAAGGTGCTTGTTTCCTATGATTCCTGCTGTTCTCACTTTTACTGCCTCCTTTTAAAACCCCCGTCTACCTGTGGACCAAATGCACAGCCTTTTCCAACCTGAATCAGCCGGACATATTAAAGGCAATGTTGCTAATTACCATGAAAACAGAGCACTTGAATATGTTTAGAGAACCCGAACAGCTTTGAAACTGTTAATCTTCTAAGTTTGGATTCCTGATCCTAAGACCCAGCCATACCGACTTCCTAAAAAGATGTGAGCCTCCCTGGCTTTCCCTGTTTTCCTGTTCGTTCAGCTCCCCAGAGCTCTGGGAGCCAGAAAGGTCTAAGCTGCTTCCTCCATGGGCGTGCACCCCTCACTGTTAACACCGTAGCAGGGTCAGCCTCCTTCTGCACCTTGACAGAAGACCTTTCGCAGAGAACACTCACCTTATTTTTTCTGTCTTTTTTGCATTTCAAACCTTTGAAATTTAACTCTTCTGGTCAAATCCAGTTTAGAGATCCTACCAGGTTCACGGCTGATGGGGAGCACAGTTGTGACTGAGCCTTGATCACATAAGTAGTGTACACTTGTGGTGAGAATTAGCTCAGATGGTCAGTAAAAGGAAGGTCACTTTTTCTCAAGAATCAGAAACTGTGTGCTCTATAGTTTAAAATGGTTTGCTGTTTAGTAAATACTTCGATCCTCCTCTAATATGCTATTTTATTCTTGTATAAATTTGAAGTAGAACCGATAATTTATGTAACTTCAGAAAGCTATCATTATACAGGGGCAGAACGATAGTGTTTGGTAAAGGAAGCTTAGTGCTGCATTGCATAAAGGCATCACGTTGTTGAATTTACAGTGTTTTTAGTTTGGAGCTGGGACGTGGATTAATTGTGTTCTGCTTTATGTTAAACACGACAATTCCTATGGGGACGAGAGGCTTTTGGCTTCTCACACGGGCTCCAGGGCGGTCTCCTACCTGAAACTCGCTCATAGGCGTTTGGAGCACATACTGATTGATGCTGTTTTAGTTAGAGCTTGCATTAGACGAAAGGCACATGGTTAAGGGACACAGCATTCCGCTTTTAGTATTCCAGGAGCGTGCTCCTCTTCGTTATATGTACATCTGGGGCCTCTCCTCTCCTCTCGGACCTGGCCTCCACTTTTGCTTGTTCTGGTAGTTAACTTAATTTTACATCCTCCAGCTTCCAATGCTACTTGTCAGCCACTTTTAGCACTTCCAGACTTCTCCACTAACTGCCTTACATCCTCACTGTTTGTTTGAGTTCTTTCCCACTTTAACCTCTGACTCTCGTCTACCAATAACAGTGGAATTAGGTGTGCTTATACTAGCCTTTGAATCCAGAACAATTTAATTCCATCTGGAAGTATTTTTTCTACAGAAGAAACTCAAACAAAGTATTTTGGAAAATTGTCCAAAACAAATACTAAAACACTTAGTGATGGAAGTATTCCTAATACACATATTAGGAAAAAACTGGACCAGCAGCAAGAAGATAAAATCTTTGTAAACAAATTTTTACTCGAGTGAAAACCTTATATCACTTATTATTTATAATCTTTTAATTAGATAGCAAATCAGTATATGGGGATCTTAGTTGGGACATCAAAATAGACTTGATATATGAAAGGAGACTGTTGATGAGGTCAAGTGCTATTACAGTGCAATGAAGTTCAAGAAACTCTGTGAGTTCTTTTTAACTGAAATAAAGAGATCACTTTGAGGGACTTAAGGTTTGTTTGTTTTTTGGGCGGGTAGGTGTCAGATTATTAAAATAGTTTTTTTTACAATAGATCGTTGTGTGATGTTGGGCGCACAACTCTAAGGGAGCTCACAGAATTGAGTAACATGACTGTAACAAAAGATTTTCTGGTTATTAAGCACTTTTATCTATAAAAACATTGAAATAGTATTAATGCTGAACCTTGTCTCATTCTGGTAGTAAGTAATATTCATTCATGGACTCATAAACCAAAAAAAAAGGTAAGCTCCATCTATTTCATTAGGAGATGTATTTTCAGTAAAATTTTATGTTTTGCTTAACACTTTTCCAAATGTATAATATACTTGTGTTTTGATTAATCATGTACTAATATTAATTACAATGATAATTCAAAATTTCTTTTGGATTGATACTTAGAACCATATAGTCACAAGAAATCTTAAAAATTTGTATTTATACACAGCTATGTTGTTGCAGAGAAGAACAATTGGATAATAAGTATATAATCCAAGTATAAAAATATGTTACATCAGGATAGCATTCTCTAGAATAAAATAGAAATAGAAGTTCAAGGAGAAAAAGGAGCAATGTAAATCTTTTGAGTGTTAAGGAATGGTTAGTTCAATAGTAAAGTTTGTTCAGTGGATGATGACGGTTATCAGGTTGATAATAATTTTTAGGGTCCATTTGATACATTTAAAAGAGTGATGTAATGGTTTTTGTTTTCCTTTAATCAGTATTGTTTGTTAATTGAGAAGGGAAAAATAATAAATGTACATAGAGAATCCTGGCAGGCACCATGTTAACTAATAGGTCATGGTTAACATCACAGGAATAAGGCATTGAGCACCATGGACCCCTGATCTGTGAGATACTGAGGAAGGCATAACATCATTTCTGTTGTATTTTTGCCCCAAATGCATAACTTCAGTTTTATCATAAGAAAACATCAGACACAGCCAAATTGTAGATTATTCTACAAAATAACTGATCAGTAATCTTCAAAAGTGTCAAGATTGTGAAAGACAAGGAAAGATGGAGGAATCGACAAAGATCAGAGTTTAAGGAGACGTTAAACTAAATGCAGTGTGGAATCTTGGGTTGGATTCTGAAACAGAAAAGGATGTTAGTAGAAAAACTGGTGAAATTTGAGTAAGGTCTATAGTTTTGTGTTTTATCAATGTTGATTTTCTGGTTTTGCTACTGGTACTTTAGCTGTGGAAGATGTTAACATTAGGGGAAGCTGGGTGAAGAGTACATGGAAACTTTTTGTATACTTTGCATCTTTTCTCTAAAATTATTTTTAAAATAAATAGTTTTTTGAAAGTTAATATTGATAATATGCTAGGAATTACATCCTTTGTAATTGAAACTTAAGATAAAAATTTTAGATTTTACCAAAAGTGTGTGAATACCTGGTATTTCAAAATTGTTTAATGGTTTCATGAGCAAAATAGTTTTCTTTGAGGAATTTGAGTTGGCCAAGAGAAAAAAAAATTCTAAAAATAACCATATAAGTGGTTCACCTGGGAAAGGTCCGAGCCAGATTATCCTGCTGCAAAGCTTATTGTCAGCAATCCCACCACGCACAGAGCATCAAACTGGCTTTTTAATGTCTCATTCCTAAGTATGAAGAAATAGCTTAGTTAGGGAAAGCCACTGATCAAAACAAAAAAGAATGAGAACAATTTGGAAGAGACAGACAATGTAAAAACAAAACAACTCAACTCTTAGTATTTTTGGAAGATAAGGGTAGTCATTACATTCATGAAATGAGAACACGATATGTTGAAAGTATGTCCATAGAGCTCTTGGAAATTAAAAATTCAATATAAAGAAGATAAAAGTGAGGAGTTTGATCAGAAAGGAGAGCAACGACAACCACAAAAAATAAACCCTAAATGATAGGAAATAGGAAAGAAAAGACAAAATTAGAGGAAAGTTCTGAATAATAGCTGTTTCAGAAGGAGAGAACAGAGAAACGGGGGGGCGGAATCACCAATGAAACAATTCAAGAAAATTTCTCAGAACTATGAAATATGTGTTTGGAGATTAAAAGGCCCCATTGAGCATCCGTCACAATGAGTCAAGATAGACCCGTGCTGAGAAAGATTATTGTGAAATTTCGGAACATCTGGGATAGAGAAAAGACTTTGTAAGCCTCCAGAGAGTGAGAGAAGGATTTATACAAAGGATCAAGAATCAGATTGATTAGATTTCTTGACAGTGACGCTGAGCTCTAGAGGTGGAACAATGCCTTTAAGATAGTGAGGGAAAATGGTCTCCAGTGTAATTCTACACCCAAATTACCAAGGAAGTATGAGAGTAAAAGAAGGAGATTTCTGCATGGTCAGTTCCAAAAAGATTTACCTCTCATGCACACTTTTTCTGGAAGCTAGTAGAGTTTATGCTCTACTAAAATAAGGAAGTAAATCAAGAAAGAAAGGTAACAGATCAGGAAACCAGGAGAGAAAAGAGATCCCCAGCTCCCAGCTGTGTAATAGTTCTGGAGCTGCCCTGTCCAGATGGGTAGCCACTGGCTTTATGTGGCTATTGAGACGAAAATTAATTAAATAAAAATTCAATTTCTTGGCCATAGCACCCGCATTGTAAACGTTCACGAGCCGCATGTGGCTGGTGGCTACCACATTGCACAGGGCACATTTAGAACATTTCCATCATTGCAGAATGTTCTTTTGAACAACACTTTTGTAGAGATTGGATTGTAGCAGGTCAGAAAGCTCTGGGATACTGATTCTAGAATATGGAATAGCTGATGTGTTTAAATTTACCAAGGTAAGGATTCCAGTTACAGGAGACTTTGGGGGATAAGTTAGAGGTATAATAAATAGAAACCGTTATTAAGGCAAATCAAAAAGCAGTGCAGGAAGAGAAAAACAACCATAATATACTGCATGGCTCAGTTGTCAAAAGTGTGTGTGTGTATATATGTAATCGTG